GAAGTCTCACTGCCCAGGCGGGTCTCGAACCCGCGGGCTCAGGCAATCCACTCACCTTAGCCTCCCAAAGATGCGGGATTACAATCTGAGCCACCGAGCCCAGCTTATTGTGTTTGTTCTTAGAAAAATATACTTTTTCTGGGGGGGGGGGTCAATATTTATGAGGATGGGGCAAACACTTTTCCCAGTGTTATTTTTCTTTTAGTTCAGTTTTAAAGTGCTGATTTTTGCTTTTTTAAAATTCTTATTGTGAATAAAGGGTCAAAAACTAGTCCTTGGGAGAGTAAATACTATTACTTCTCTAGGCTTAGGAATTCAAATAAAGTTGTGTTCAACAAAATGATTTTATTTAACTTTTCTTCATAGCAAACTAGAAACACTTCAGTTAGGACTATTAATTCCCAAATCATTCCTAGTTTTTTTTTGTCTTTTTTTTTTGAATCAGGATCTTACTCTGTCACCAAGACTGGAGTGCAGTGGCACAGTCACGGTTACCGCAGCCTCAACCTGCTGAGCTCAGGCAATCCTTCCGCCTAAACCTTTCAAGTAACGAGTTCTACAGGTTTAAGCCACCATGCCCAGTTAATTTTTTTGATTTATTGTAGAGATGACGTCTCACCATATTGCCCAGGCTGGTCTCAAATTCTTGGGCTCAAGCAGTCCTTTCGTCTCCACCTCCCAAAGTGCTGGGATTACAGGTGTGAACTACTGCTCCTGGCCATTCCTAGCCTTTTTGGATACAAAACTGATTTTCTTTCTTTGTTTTTTTTTTGAGTTGGAGTCTCACTCCATCACTGAGGCTGGAGTGCAGTGGCATGCTCACGACCACCCCAGCATTGACCTAATTGGCTCTAAAAATCCTTCTGCTTCAGCCTTCCAAGTAGCCGGAACTACAGGCGTGCACTACCATGCCCGGCTAATTTTTTGATTTATTGTAGAGACGAGGTCCCACCATGTTGCCCAGGCTGGTCTCAAACCCATGGATTCAGGCAATCCTCTCGCCTTGGCCTCCCAAAGAGCTGGGATTACAGTCTTGAGCCACCGCACCTGGCCTTAAGCTGATTTTCAAGTACATTGTCTAAACTTGAAACATTTTTCTGTATCAAGTTAAAAGATTTATATATTGAAATCCATAGTGACACAGACCTGTATTTGAATTTAGATTTCTGAGGAATGTGATAGGTAAGAGGTATGTTGATCTAGTTGAATTTAATCTGCTGTTTATTGTCATTTGGACATTTTATAGCAAAATTTTAAGTTATGAGCAAATACAACATAACTTACTAATGAAAAGCTTTTAATTGCTATCAAGCCATCATACACATGAGTAGTTATCCATGTAACAGTGTCATAAATTCTTCAGAGTAAATGACAGGATAACAAATTAATGAGAAACCATGATATGCATGAACATTTTTTTCCTATTCTTTTTTTATCTGTTACTCTAATCGTTTAAAAATTTTCACCTTCTTATTTAATTTGCATTCTTTGGTTTACTTATAAGATTGTACATTTACAAAAAGATACCTATGTTTATAAAGGGGGAAGAAGGGAAAGCTCTTTCTTACAGTAAAATTCCAATTAATAAATGTGGATGGAATTGAAGGAACTAGAATATTTCTATTTTATGAATGCCATCCAAATAGTGGGTGAAAAGATGAAACAGGGTACTTTCATAGTCTTAAGGTATCTTCCCATAAGACACTTGTTAACTGGAGGAGCTTGGTAGACACTTTAGCCAAGTGATGTATCTTCCTATAAGACACTTGTTAACTGGAGGAACTTGGCAGATACTTTAGCCAAGTGATATGAGGTGCTATCACAAATAATGAGACTTTCTGACATTAGTGTATCTCCTGGTATGTTACTCTGATAGGGCATGGCAGGTATTACTTCAGTGATACTCTTGCCAGAATAAACCTACATTTAATCTCAAGGAAATACCAAACCCAAATCATGGGACATTTTATAGAATAATTGGCCACTAACTTTTAAAATGTCAAAGTCACAAAAGACAAAGAAAGACTAAGGAACTTCTAGATTGGAGGAGATTGAAGAGAGATAGCAGATAAATGCAATGTGTGATCTTGGTCTTCATCCTGGACCAGATAAAAAGGTATTAGTAGATAATTGGGGAAGTTTTGTTATAGCCAAGATATCAGTTATAAGACTGAAATTATTTTAAAATTAAAAATTAAAAACATGACCTGTGCTTGATAGGACCCATGCTAGTATGACTGCCAAGATTTATAGGGAATTTACACATTATTAGTGTCCAGCTCACTGAGCTTTAGTTATCTGCAGGTAGTCTCTGAAAAAATTGCAGTAGGTAAAAAATGTTTTAAGATCCCAGAGGCACTAAATTATAAGGGAGATCTCTAATTTTTTTACATAAGTCTATTTGAATAAATGCAACAGATTCACTTTTGTATTACATATGTATATATGGCGCATATATATGTATATGTATATGTATCTCTCTCTCACTGTGTGTGTGTGTGTGTGTGTATCATTTTTTTTTTTTTTTTTTGAGTCAGTGTCTTACTCTGTCACCTAGGCTGGAGTGCAGTGGCATGGATCACAGCTCACTGCAGCTTCAACCTCCTGGGCTCAGACAATTCTTTCACCTCAGCCTCCTGATTAGTTGGGACTACAGGTGTGCACCATTATGCCAAGCTAATTTTTCACCTTTTTTGTAGAGATGAGTCTCGCTGTGTTGCCCAGGCTGGTCTCGAACTCCTGGGCTCAAGCAGTCCTCCTACCTCAGCCTTCCAAAGTTTTAGGATTATGGGTGTGAGCCACCATACCCAGCCTCATTATATTTATATCTGTAGTAATAGCACTTCAGTTTTAAAGACCATGTTTACTTTTTAAAGTGATTATATACACAAAGTATTTTTGAAAATTGTGTCTTTGTTTTCAGGTGGGAAAAAATTTGATGTAATTGTGATAGATCCTCCATGGGAGAACAAATCAGTTAAAAGAAGTAACAGGTAAGTGGAAATAGATTATCTATGAGAAATTCTTTCTAAAAACTGTTTTCCTTTGTACACTGTAGTTTCATATACAATTGGCATTATTATTTTTTCTTTTTTATTATTTTATTTATTTTTTTATTTTGAAGATATGGGGTATAATTCAGGGTTAGATGTACAGACATTGATTATGCAGTTACCCTTGTTGATGAGGTATGCCCCTCCCTCCCCTAGCAGTTTCCCTTAACTGCCAATCCCATCCCTCCTCAATTGGCATTGTTTTATGATATAGATTATCTGCAACTACTAAAGTGCTTAATAGTTTTTGAATTTTAATTTCCATAACTAGATAATTCTCTTGAACTGTAACTATATATAGGTGTAAGAATATCAAGAATAATATATATATATGCATATATATATATATATATATATATATATTTATTTATTTATTTTTTTGAGTTGGAGTCTCACTCTTGTTGCTCAGGCTAGAGTGCAGTGGCACGCTCATGGCCACCACAACCTTGACCTGCTGGGCTCAGGTGATGCTTCTGCCTCAGTCTTCCAAGTAGCTGGAACTACAGATGCATGCCACCGCGCCCGGCTAGTTTTTGTGATTTATTGTAGGGATGAGGTCTCACCAGGTTGCCCAGGCTGGTCTCGAAACCCCCGGGCTCAGGCATTCCTCTTGCCTTGGCCTCCCAAAGTGCTGGGATTACAGGCTGAGCCACCGTATCTGGCCAAGAATGATATATTTAGTAATCGCCTGCATCAATTTAGAATTATTTCTTTAATACCAAGGGCAACATCTTTGGCTTCTTTGTTATCAAATTCTAAAGTTTAAAAAAGTGTGCCAAAATATTTCTGGTTTTCCTTAGTAACCTGCTATGAATGAATTTGTCTGATTCATTCTTACATTTGTTTTTATTATAAATTTATGACACCATTTTAGTTTATGTCACCTCTTAGGATAATGAGTTCAGTTAGTTGCTAAGATGATAATTCCATTTTTTTGTTTTTTGGTCGGAGTTTCACTCTGTCACCCACGGTGGAGTGCAGAGATCATGGTTAAATGCTACCTTGACTTAAGCCATCCTACCACCTTAGCCTCCCGAGTAACTGGATCTACAGGCACGTGCCACCACACCAGGCTAATCATTTGGGGGTTTTTTTGGAAGAGACGTAGTCTGCCTATATTGCCCAGGCTGGTCTTGAACTTCTGGGCTCAAGTAGTCTTTCTACCTCAGCTTCCCAAAGTTCTGGGGTTACAGACATGAGCCACCATGCCTGGTGATAATGCCTATTAATAGTGTTTTAAAAGATGGCCAGGGGGCAACCTTCTCGGGTCTTCTCCTACTGTGGGAACTTTTCTGTACTCTCAATAAATCTTGCTTTCAAAAAAAAGATCAGGTGTGGTGGTTCACAGCTGTAATCCCAGCACTTTGGGAGACCAAGCTGGAAGGATTGCTTGAGACCAGGAGTTGAGACCTGAGCAACACAACAGGACTCCTGTCTCTACAAAAACATTCAAGAAAAAAATTAGCCAGGCATAGTGGCTTGCACCTGTAGTCCCAGCTACTCAAGGAGGCTGACTCTAGAGGGTCACTTGAGCCCAGGGGTGTAAGATTATAATGAACTATGATTGTCCCACTGCACTCTAGGCTGGGCATCAGAATGAGACCATCTCTAGAATTAATAATAGTGTCAATTTTTTTCTAGTTCTTTTTTTAAAAAATCATAATAGATGTATTTAATCGAAGTTTTGTGTGACACAGGAGCCTTCAGAAATGAAGACCTAAAGACCCAGGGAAAAATGTGTATTTTTATGTTTAGATTTAATGAAGAATGAGCAGCTGTGTAGAAATGTATTGGACAAATGGGTATGATCTAATGGTAATAGATTGAGGGGTAAACCCAGCAAGACCTGTTTGTTTGGATTCTTCTTGTCTTCTCTTCTCTGTGTAACGTTCCTTCCTCTGGGTATGGGGTAGTTCTAATGAATGTCTTCAGTTACATTTCTTCTCATTCTTCAGTGTTCTATACCGAAAAATTTGTTTCTTTGACTTCAACTTTATGTGAAATTTCTTTCTCTTCAGTTATCCTTAGCTTTCCTGTGCTTCTTATTTATGAGCTGTGCCAATAGGATTTGTTCTTTTGAAGCATACAAAGAATTCAACTATTTATTTTCTGTGTGTGTGTTTGTGTGTGGATATCTATATCTATATATGATTATTTTTAATTACTTGAGGATGCGTTAGTTAAGAGAAAGTGTTCTTAAATATTTTGGTGTTTATTTCCTAAAAACAAAGATATTGTCTTTCATAATCATAATATAATCATCAAATTAGGTAATCAACATTGATATAATACTCTTATTGATACAGTACTGTTATCTACAGCCCTTATTCAGGTTTCACTGATTTTCCCAAAAGTGTAGCAAATAAAATCAGACATTATGGTCAGTTGTCATATCTCTTTAGCATCTTTTTTTTTTGAGTTGGAGTCTCACTCTGCCGCTCAGACTGGCCCCTCCACCTGCTGGGCTCCGGCAGTGCTTCTGTCTCAGCCTTCCAAGTAGCTGGAACTACAGGCGTGCACTGTCACTCCCGGCTATCTCTTTAGTATCTTTTAACTCTCTTCCTTTGACTGATTTTAATTTATATCTTTCCCCTAATAAACAGTAACTGCAAGTATGATAGCATTGGGTAGGTTCTGTGACTCATTTTGACAAACATTTGAACCTGAGGGTTGTTTTAGAAACTGTCTGAACTTGCACTGGTTGTAGAAGTAAGTTCAGTCTTGAGGACTGTGCATTCAGACTTTGCAGTTTGGTTAACTCTGGGCAATGTGTTTTCACTTCGCTTGGGTATATACCTAGGAGCAGAATTGCTGTGCTGTCTTTGCACTTTTGAGGAACTGCCAAACTATTTTCCACAGTGACTATATTGTTATATGTTTCCACCAGCAGTGAGAGTTCTAGTTTCTCCACATTCCTGCCAACGTGTATTTTCTGTTTCTTTCAATAATAGCCATTCTGTTGAGTGTGGAGTGGTCTCATTGTGGTTTTGATTTGCATTTCTTCAACAACTAATGATGTTGAGCATCTTTACGTGTCCTTATTGGCCATTTGTATATCTTCTTTGGAGAACTGTTTGTTCAAATCATTTGCACGTTTTAAAATTGGATTTTTAAATATTGTTGACAAGTTCTTTATATATTTTGGATACAAGGTCCTTATCAGTACATGACCTGCAAATGTGTTCTCCTGTTCTCTAGGTTGTCTTTATAGTGTTCTTTGAAGCATAAAGTTTTAAATTTTGAGATGGTCTTTCTTATCAATTTTTTCTTTTGTTGCTTGTGGCTTTAGGGTTGCATTTAAGGAACCATTTCTCAAATCAAGGTCATGAAGATGAGCTCCTGTGTTCTGTTGAAGAGTGGGTGATGTTGCATACTCTCCATTGCAACACATAAGGATGGATCTTTTTGAATTTGCTCAGTGATTTCTATAAAATTAGAGCTAGGAGGAGGGATATGAATATTTTCTCCTTTCCCCCCAAATCAACCCAAATAAATTAAATTAATGCAGTCAAGAATCTGCAATTTTTGAAGCCTTGTAAGTTCACATTTTTGAATTGACATTTTTCATACTGTAGCAGAATTAGTCTTTTAAAATTATCACTTAAAAAAAAAAAATCAGAGACTCACTTTATTGCCCAGGCTGGAGTGCAGTGGCACGCTCACAGCTACCGCAGCTTTGACCTGCTGGGCTCAGGCGAACCTTCCGCCTCAGCCTTCCAAGTAACTGGAACTACTGGTGCGTCCCACTATGCCCAACTAGTTTTTTGATTTATTGCGGAGAAGAGGTCTCACAAAGCTACTTAGGCTGGTCTTGGATCCCTGGGCTCAGGCAGTCCTCTCACCGCGGCCTCCCAAAATGCTGGGATTACAAGTGTGAACCATTGGGCCCTGCTGAAATCATCCTTTTGATTATGAAAAACACTAGTCAGCTGGAAGAACACTGGCCTAGATGGCAGGAAGCTCAGGTGCTTGTGATCTGAATTGTTTTACTTGTTTATTTGTTTATTTAAGCAATATTTATTGAGTATTTATGCCATACAGTTGTCATATGTAAGAGCTAGATTTTAATGTTTGTTGCATTTGGCCATTGGAAGGTCATTTCCTTTTTTCAGAGCAAGTATAGTGGTATGTGTCTCATTGGAGTCTCCTAAGGAATAAAATCAAGGAGAGAAAGTAGAAAGGCTAAGTACATACCAGTCCTTAGCTTATTGTAGATGGAAGGAGACCCAGTGGGGGGACTTTTTCTCATCTCTATTCTCCTCCCTTCATTTTCTACTTCTCTCCTCTTCCCTCCCTTTTCCTCTCCTTTTCTTTCTCCCTCTTTTCCCTCCCTCCTTCCTCCTTTTCTCCTCTTTCTTCTTTTCAAATGGGTAGTGTGAGTATGTTTATAGACTGATGGTAGAGGACTATTAGAGAGGTTGAAAATACAGGAAGGGAATAATTGGCATTACAAGATACTGGTATATGGGAATAAGAGGATTCAACTGGCATAAGGGGCAGGCTTTAATGGGTGAAGTTGGGCTATTTTCTTTAAGAGGAAATATAAAGAAATAGATAAGTAAATGACCAAGCAGAGACCAAGCACTAGCTGCTTTACCAGGAGATCCCTGGCCACTTTCTCCAGAGACCCACTCAGTCTCTCCCAGTAGCTTCTTCTCAGGAAGGCCTTTGTTGCTTTAAAAAAGGGGGGCTTGGGTTCTGTGCCTGGGGAAGCCCTCGGGACCAAGTAGAGCAGCTGTGGCACCAGCCACTTCACCAGGAGAGCCCTGGCCACTTGCTCCCAAGCCCCCACTCAGTTAGTCACTGACATGCCCACTTACACACCAACAGGGTATGCCAAATTTTCCATACACTTACTCACTCACACTGGGACTCGCATAGTCTGACTGGCTCTGCTGCCATCTTCCTCTAACTCCTTTCATAAAAATATTTTAAATGGTAATATTAATGAAATGAAATGCACTTTAAACAAAAATTGGATTTTTTTTTTTAATTGCGTGAACTGGAGTGCAGTGGTATGATCATGGCTCACCGCGGCCTCTAACTCCTGGGCTCACGCAATCCTTCCACCTCATCTTCCCTGAATAGCTAGGACTACAGGTACATGCCACCACACCTGGCTAATTTTTTGATTTTTTTTTTTTTATAGAGACAGGGTCTCACTGTGTTGCCTAGGCTGGTCTTGAACTCCTGGCCCCAAATGATCTTTCCACCTCGGCCTCTCAAAGTGCTAGGTTTACAGGTGTGAGCCACTGTACCTGGCCCTGACAATTTTCAATGAGTAAAAAGAAAAATGAAAATATTTCTGACATGTGTGATAATGCGTCCACTAGGTGACACTGTGGTTCCGTACTTAGCTACTTAAATGAATAGCTATAGGAGCTTTTCATTTGTGGAGTCAATGTTGTACAGGTCTCCCTGCTTATTTTTATTTTTTTACAGTGAATTTTGCTCATATTTTTTTCTGTTTATTTTTAGGTACAGTTATTTGTCACCTCTGCAAATAAAGCAAATACCTGTTCCGAAATTGGCTGCTCCCAACTGCCTTATTGTTACTTGGGTGACCAATAGACAGAAGCACCTACATTTTGTGAAGGGAGAACTTTATCCTTCTTGGTCTGTGGAGATGGCTGCTGAATGGCACTGGGTAAAAGTAAGTTCAGAAACTAGCTTACTTGTTAATATGGCGTGAAATATAGGGCACATAAAAGTAGCATCTACTTTTTAACTCAGCATGTCACTGCTGTACTCCTTCAGCATTGGCTAATTCAAACTTTTGCTTTGCTGCTAAACACTTTTATCTTCTTTCTTAAGGCTTTTGTCTGTTTCTTTTGTATCCTTTTGAATAGAGTCTTACACTGCTGGCCTTGGGAAATCAGTCAGGGAGATATCAGGATGAAATTTTAAAAAGCTCTGATGTCATTTTAAAAAACAGCAAATAGGCTGGGTGTGGTGGCTTATGCCTGTAATCGATTTATTACCGAACAGAAATAGGCTTCCCCTTTGCTTTCTTTCCCTCATTATACTCACAACTTCAGTCACCCTTTGTGACTTCTATCTTTCTTTTCTTATTTTGGACATGAGTTCAGAGAATAGCAAAATAACCCACTGTAAAGGGGCCGGAAGATGCCAAAACCAAGATGCTTTTATGTTCTGAATATTGCCTTAGGTGCTGCTGTGTCTGTTTGCAAGAGAAACGATTCGAGCCCTATGGTTGGTTGAATGATCTTTAATATTTCTGCACGTTACAAGAATATCAAGAAATACAGAAAAACAAGTCAGTTCAGAATTAGACGTCCTTTTATTTTTTTGATTGGTTGATTAATTTATTTTTTAAACTTTATTGTAGAGATGTGGGTTATAAATGAGAATTAATGACATAAGTAGGCTGCAGGCAGGTGAAGTTTTGGATTTTTTTTTATTTTAAAAATGTGGGGTACAATTCAGGGTTAGGTACATGTGTGGTCATCGTAGAGGTAAAGTATGAGTACTCTTATTTTATTTTATTTTTTGAGTTGCAGTCTCACTCTGTCGCCCAAGCTGGAGTGCAGTGGCATGCTCCCGGCCACCGCACCCCCAACCTACTGGGCTCCAGCGATCCTTTCACCTCAGCCTTCCAAGTAGCCAGAACTACAGGTGCACGCGACCATGCCCGGCTGGTTTTTTTGATTTGTTGTAGAGACGAGGTCTCGCCAAGTTGCCCAGGTGGATCTCAAACCCGCGGGCTCAGGCAGTCTACTCACCTCGGCTTCCCAAAGTGCTCGGATTACAGGCTGAGCCACCGAGCCCGGCTGGGTACTCTTATTGATATTATGTGTCCACCCTCCCCCAGTAGTGTCCCACTACTGAATCCCTTTCTTACAGTGTTATGATAAATACCAGGGTCCACTTATGAGAACATGTGGTTCTCAGATCTTTGTTTCTGTGATAAATCACTGAGTATTATAGATTCTAATTCCATCCAGGTTGCTAAATTCATAATTTTGTTTTTCTTTATGGCTGCATAATATTCATCTTGCAAACATACCATATGTTCTTTATCCAGTTCAATTTTAATGGGCAGCACTGTTGGTTCCATGTTTTTGCTATTGTGGATAATGCTGCAATAAACATGTGTGTGCAGGTATCTTTTTTATTGAGTGATTTGAATTCTGCCAGGTATATTCCCAGGAGGGGGATTGCTGGGTCATATGGAAGGTCAAATTTTAGATCTTTTAGAAATGGCCACACTGTTTTCCACAGAGGTTGTACTAGTTTACGGTCCCACCAGCAGTGTTGAAGTGTTCCCTTTTCCCCACATCCTCTCCACCGTCTGTTGTTTTTTGAGTTACTGATAATGGCCATCCTGACTGAAGTTAGGTGGTATCTCAGTATTGTTTCAATTTGCGTTTCTTTGATGATTAGTGAGACTGAGCATTTTTTCATATATCTGTTGGCTGCTCATATATCTTCGTATATCTATTCATATCTTTTGCCCAATTTTTAATAGTGTTGTTTGTTTTTTTTCCTTTTGGCACATTTGAGTTCCTCATAGATCCTGGATGTTAGGCCTTTGTCAGATGCATAATTTGCAAAGATTTTTTACCCATTTTGTGGGTTGTCTCTTTACTCTCTTGATGATTTCTTTTGCTGTGCAAAAACTTTTCAATTTGATGAGGTCTCACATTTCTATCTTAGCTTTTATGGCATTCGCTTTTGGGGGCTTGGTCAAGAATTCGTTGCCTACTTTGATGTGCATAACAGAATTTTGTACGTTTTTTTCTAAGATTCTTATGGTTTGAAGTTTTACGCTTAGGTCTTTGATCCTTTTTGAGTTGATTTTTGTATAAGGTGATAGGTAGGGGTCCAGTGTCATTCTTCTGCATGTGGTCAGCCAGTTTTCCCAGCATCATTTGCTAAATATGGTCTTCTTTCTCCAGTGATTGTTATTGGTGACTTTGTCAAAGATGAGTTGGTTGAGAGACCATGTTTTTGCTTCTGGAATTTCTGTCCAGATCTGGAATCTCTGTTCCATTTATCTATGTGCCTATTCGTGTATCAATACCAGGTGTTTTAATTACTGTAGCCTTGTAATTAAGTTTAAAGTCTGGAAATATGATACCTCTCACTTTGTTCCTTTTGCTGAGGATTATTTTGGCTATTCATACTCTTTTGTGTTTCCATATGAATTTCTGTATTGTCTGTGGCTTCATGCATGATGTTGGTAATTTGATGGGTATTGCATTGACTCTTTAGATTACCTTGTGTAGATGGACATCTTGGCAATATTGATTCTTCCAGTCCATGAGCATGGAATGTTATCCATTTATTTGTGTCATCCTTGATTTATTTGAGCCACATTTTGTAGTTCTCGTTGTAAATGTCTTTCACTTCTCTGGTTAGGTGAATGCCAAGGCATTTCATTTTTGTGTGTGGCTATTGTGAATGGGATTGTGCTTTTTATTTGGTTCTCTGCCTACTTGTTGGTTCGTGTATAGAAATGCAACTGTCTTTTGCACGTTGATTTTGTAACCTGAGTCATTTTTATCAGTATGAGGAGGCTTTTGAAAGACTCCCTAGGGTTTTCAAGACATAGAATCATATTGTCTGCAATGAGGGGCAGCTTAACTTCCCCTTTTCCTATTTGGATACCCATGATTTCCTTCTCTTACCTGATTGTTCTGACTAGGATTTCCAGCACTTTGTTGAACAGGATGGAGGAGAGTGGGCATCCTTGTCTTCTTTCCCTTCTTTCTTTTTTTTTTCTGCAAAGGCTTTACTGGGTGGCTAAGGGGCTCAGTCTTTCTGGGCTGCCACCTTCCTCACAGCAGCCAGGATGTTGCTCAACTCCTTGTGCTTCCTCTTGGTGCAGATGTATATCCCTGCCCATTTCTTGATGAACTTGAGTACCCACTTGTCCTTGGAGACCTTGAGCAGCTACATGGCATGCCACTCATATGGGCTCATATGAAGTGAAGCCACACACCTCTTGGATCATGTCCTGCATGAACTTGGTATGCTTTGTTAGGCATCAACAGTGGCAGCTGTGCCTCAGCTGACACATGCTCTTGGTCATCTTGTGGCTCTTGTTGAGGCCCATGGCCATGGGGTAACACAGGGCCATGGCTGCTGCTCTCCAATCTGCTTTTCATTCTTAAAGGGAATGCTTCCAACATCCGCCTACTGAGCAAAATGTTGGCTGTGGGTTTACCATAGGACAGGTGGTCTGATCCTTCTCTAGTTGCCTTTAGAATTTTTCCTTTCATGCTTACTTTGTGAAGGCAGATTACTCTGTGTCTTGGCAATGGTCTTATCAATGTAGTGGTTTGCAGTGGTTCTCTGAATCACTTGTGCTTGAATGGTCATGTCTCTAGAGAGATATGGGAAGTTTTCTTGGAATGTTCGTTCCATAGTGGAATGTTTATTCCATAGTGTTCTCAGTTTCCCTTTCTGCTTGTGGGATAACAATCAGGCATTGATTTGATTTCTTGACATAGTCTCACAACTCTTGGGGGCTTTGTTTTTGAATTTTTTTTCTGTTTTGACAGACTGGGTTAATTCCATATTTTGGCTTTCAAGCTCTGAGATTCTTTCTTCTGCTTGGTTGATCCTGCTCCCTATGTTTCTTATTGTGTTTTGATTTCCAGGATGGAGCTGTTCATTTCCATTTTTTCAGAATAGGCTTTTTTGAAATTGGCCAACTCCGCTTTTACTTCCTATATGACCTTGGTGAGTTTCATTTGTACTTTTTCTTGGTTCTCTCTGTTCATTTTAACCATCCAATCTCTGATTTCTGTGACTGTCATCTGGGGCAGGTCTTTCTGAGGGGTTCCCATTGTTTGTGCTCTTATAGCTGCTTTTTCAGGTGCTGCCTCTTTAGAACTCCGAGGGTTGCCTATGTTTTCTCATTGATTTTTTTTCTCATTTGTGACAGGCCTCTCTTACTTCTCTATAATTCATCTTTATTTTTGTGTCTCTCAAGCTAGTCAATGACCCTCTGTTCTAGGGCCCTTTTTGTGGTTCCATTTAGGTCACTTGGTGAGAGAGGGAGGGGCACTCTCACTTCTACTCCTTGCTCCCGTCTTTGACAGGTTTCTCTTCTGTAGATTTTCTTTCTTGCTGTTGGTGTAGTCAGCCCCTGCTGCTAGCATCTGTGGAGAGGGAGTGGGGAATTGGACCTCCATCTTCTATTTGTGTTTGCAACCCAGAAGTCTTCCCACTGAGAAAACCTTTGGGCATCTTTTGTGTTACCCCTTCCCTGTTCAAGTCCACATTCTGCTCTTGAAAAAGAGCGAGTTCCCTGTTACAGGGGTAGAGATGATCTGCCCTGTAGGTACACAGAGCTTGAAGGTAATTTCTTCTGATCTGACTGGGAAGATGGCCACCAGCTGTTGGTTCACTCTGCAGACATGATTTCCTTGCCTGGGAGCCAGCTGTCTGGCTCTATTGGCTGAAGCCACACTCACGGTGGCTGACTGGGCACAGGTTTTGTTCTCTGTTCCACTTGGACTCCGGTTGTCTGCTGCTGTGCCCTGACCAGGATTCTTCCAGCTTGAGTGTCCTCGTGCATGGCTGGGTAGGGGTGAACCAATCCAGAACATCTTAGCACCCACTGTCCTTCACTGGGCAGGGCTTTAGTTCCTGTGTGAACTGGTGCATGTTGGGAGATGGGGTGTCCAGATTCTCACATCTACCATCACTTTCTGGTCTCTAGATCGTCAAAGAGACCTTTTCTGGGTGCAGGGTGCTTCACTGTCTAAAAGTGTTAGGGGTGTCTCCATCTATTGGTGGCTGTGTCCCTACTCTGCATGTTTGGTGAGAGAGGTGCTGGTCTGCTGCTCCGTGGTATCTGTCTTGTATCCCTCCTCTGACAAGGGCTTTTCAATTAAAATATATATATTTTTTGATTCAGAGTCTTACTCTGTCACCCAGGCTAGAATGCAGTTGCATGATTGTGGCTACTGCAGCTTCAACCTGCTGGACTCAGGTGATCCTTCCACCTCAGCTTCCAAGTAGTTGGAACTATAGGCATAAGCCACCATGCCTGGCTCTTTTTTTTTTTTAAATTATGGAGATGAGGTTTTGCCAAGTTGCCCAAACTGGGCTCGAATCCCTAGGCTCAGGCAATCCTCTTTCTTGCCTCCACCTTCCAACGTCCTGGGATTACAGGTGTGAGTCACTGTGCCTGGCTTAGACTTCCTTTTAAAGATACAATGATTATGTAGATGAAGTCTACAAAAGCCTTTCTAAATTCTAAGAGGATAAGTCAAGTTATTATTATTTCAGTGGTTAATATTTGTATAACTGGCATATGTTACATTATTTCTTTTGTACTATGTCTGAAACTCAGTGTGTATTTTATACTTCATAGCACATCTCAGTTGGACTGGCCACATTTCAAATGCTGAAGAGTTGTGTGTGGTAGTGGCTGCCATACTGGAGAGTGCTTCTATAAGAGATTAAAAAATACATTATATAAATATTTTAAATATAACTATATTATTTTCTTGCACATAAACAATCTCTACTTTTTGCTAAAATTTATTATTAGAAAGCATGTTATAAGTAGCTTATTTCATTCAAATAACATTTACTGATTACCAGCAATATGACTAAGAAGAGCATAATAGTGCATTTTCCTTTAGTTATGGGTAGTAGTATCATTAAATACAGTCAAAGCTAAAATTAATAAGGAAGGAAGCTGGGTGGTTGATAAGATAGACAATATCTAATCCAGAGACTGGCCCTTATCATTATTAATACAGATATTCAACTTTATCATTTCATCCTGGCATGACTATACTCTCAAGGATTCACCTAGCTATTCAAATTCAAAAGCATTTAAACTATCAATTCATTAGTATTCAGCCATCAGAAAAATTTAGAATTAAATACATAGCTTATATTATATTTTTCTTAAACAGCACTAGTTTGGAGGTTTAATTTCCTTTTGTGTATGTAGAAGCTGTGTAGTGATGGGAAAAAATAACCCTTATTTTGTTGGTTCTTTCCTATCAGATCACCAGTTCAGGAGAGTTTGTGTTCCCATTAGACTCTCCTCACAAAAAACCTTATGAAGGTCTCATACTGGGGAGAGTTCAAGAAAAAACTGCTTTACCATCAAGGTAGGAAATGTAATTTTTCAAAATTGTGTAAATATGTTCAATTTTAGGCTTTTGAAAGTGGTTAACATGGTAATCATTGCCTTTCCTTAATTTTTATGTTTTTGAAAATCTAAAAGTGACCCAGAGCAGAAAAGAATGAATGGTTATGGCACATAAAACTTTATATTTTGTTTTATCGAGTGTGTACTTGTCGTTATTGTAGAAAAGGAAATTTTAGGAATGTCTCAGTTCTTAAGTTGTTGATTTTCTTCATTGGTTCCAATCTTAAGTTTGTTTTAAGATCAGATAAAACTTGAAAGAGAAAAAAATAATGCAACTGTGGCATATATATAAAAATTGTTTTTTAAAACATAGCTTACTTTTTTGTTCTGTGTTAATTAGGAATGCGGATGTAAAAGTGCTCCCCATTCCAGACCACAAATTAATTGTCAGCGTACCCTGTACTCTTCACTCACATAAGCCACCGCTTGCTGGTATGTTTTTATAAAATAGAATTGTTACCATTTCTGTCAAATTTTAAAAAGGATTGAATTTAGTATTTGAATGGTCTACAGATTTGAAAATTAAATCAGGTGTGTGTTGTAATTAATATTCTAAAGTTTTATAGCAGAATTTATGAGATAGAGAATGAATTAGTTTTTAAGTACCTCAGCTTTTCCTGTTACACTGCCTTTCAGATTCTCCCTTATGATCAGTTGTGCCACGTGACTGGCCTTGACAGGGTGAGTGCTGTTGGAGCATCTGAGGCTGTAGTTCAGCGAAGGGCTTTATTTTACTCCCAGGGTTCCGACCTTTCCCTTGCTTGTTCTAAAACTAGGAGCTCTGAATAGCAGTCAGAGAAATGGTTAGAATCCCCTTGTTGTTTGGTAGAGGCTCTCAGTTTTACGATTTTTTAAGAGGTAATGTTGCTTTTCTGAAACACGGAAAAGTAATTGCTGCAAACTGCAATTCTCACTAGTCTTCATGCTTTAGTATGTTGTTTGTCATTCAGTGAAGCTAAGCAGCAAGGATTAGTAGAGAATTTGGCTTTGGAAATTAACGAATATGAGTTTGAATCCTGGCTCTGGTATTTGGGCAAGTTACTCAAATCTTTTTCTGTCTCAAAGTTCTTTTGTAAAGAAAGAATAATGTATTTATTTATATAGAATATATAATGTTTTAGGCTGGATGCAGTAGCTCAAGCCTGTAATCCTAGCGCTTTGGGAGGCCTGAGCTCAGGAGTTCCAGACTTGCCTGGGCAACATGGTAAGATGACTACCTGAGCCCAGGGGTTTGAGACCAGCCTGGGCAACTTGGTAAGACCTTGCCCCTACAATAAATCAGAAAATTAGCCGGGCATGGTGGCGCACACCTGTAGGTCCAGCTACTTGGAAGGCTGAGGTGAAAGAATTGCCTGAGCCCAGCAGGTCAAGGCTGTGGTAGCCGCGAGTGTACCACTGCACTCCAACCTGGGCAACAGAGTGAGACTCCAACTAAAAGAAAGAAACAAAGAAAAAAAAGAATATATAATCTTTTAAATATATATGTAAGTCCTTGAGAGATACTGAATTTAATATTCGGTGTTTACTTTTCAAAGAATTTCTTCAGGAATGCATATTTTATTAATTTGATAATTTCTGCTTGAATAAAACAACAGCAAAACTCCTACAAACTTCCACTTAGGAAAACTACAGACAGCTTGTTATTTTGCAGAATATGAGCTAGGACATATAAGAAGGTACACATAAATTCCCAAGAGAATTTTTATTGCTAGCACTCAGGATTTCTATTATTTGAGTTGTTTATGCAGAAGAATCTTTAACGTACTGCTTCATTTGAGAAATAGTCAAATGTCTACCTGATGATCCATTCTTTGACTTAGAGGGGATCTCATTGAACATGCACCTTTATACTTTCGACTACCATAAACTCTTTAATGCATTAATATGTGGCTTAAATGAAAAGTGCGGTTGTACTGTCCCTTGAGGGAAAAAATTACCTTTGGCACTAGTTATACCTCATGGTATATATACATGTCTTCCTCTCATTTGAATGTTTTTTGTAATTTGGTGAATAACAAAGCTTAATTTAGTGTTTGTCTCAGACCTTACTTAAACTTTTCATTCTCAAATGATAGTTAACTATTTATTGATCCTGTAGAGTAGAATAAAATTTTATTTAAAGATTAGTTACAAGAGAAAGGTTTTAAAATAGTGAATGAAAATTATTACAGCTCGTATCTTTGAAATGCAGGTCTGCTATATTCCCAGTAGAGGGCAGTACACACACATTTTTAGGACTGAGAATGTTTAAAAGCAAATGTTAGATTTTGGGGGAAAAATCTGTATGACTCAGTATATGTATAATCTTACGTTTTAGTTAAGTAGTGATAGACTGGAAATATTAGTAATGGTTTATTTTTGAGTTAATGTTACAATAGATATTTTTGGTATAGAGCAGTACAGATTAAAGCCATCAGAAAGCAACTTTCAGATTTTTGCTGTGTATTTTGGTATGAAATCATAACTCTAGGGATTTCAGACAATATATACTTTGTATATAATGCTTATATATTTAAATATAAATATATTTATATATTTAAATATTTAAATAAAGCTTTTATATTTAAATATTCTTAAACTGCTTATGCAAATTCATGAAATGAAATGTTCTTCCTTTTGCATTTAGAGAAACACATAGCTTGTTTTTTTAAGTTTAATTGGTTATTTTTGCTGTAAAATGTAGAGAGAGACCACATTGGTCCATATTCCATTGGAAAATGATATGTTTATTCTAAGTTTTAACATTTTCTCCTAGAGGTTGAAAGATAAGTCATTGATACCTATGGCTTACAACCTAACATACATGTTTATTAACGTTGAAGATTTAAAGTAGGAAAATTACGAAATAAAAGTATTTGAATCAAAATTTGGCTTTTATATTTTGCCATTCCTTTTTACTGCTTTACTTACTATTAGTTTCTGTCTAAAGAGTAAAATATAGTTGATGAGATTATATGCACTGATGTTCAGGCCTCATCTCTCCTACTCCTGCCCTGTGTTTCCAGAGCACAAGGGGAACAAGGGGCGGGCTAAGCAGGATTGTACCCCTCCATTGGTTAAAGTGTGTTGTACTAATTCCAGATGTATATAATTGTCTAAGTATACGTGTCATGCTAATGTTTAAATTTATACATTTGCATTTATTTTTAAATTGATGTTTAAAATTAGTAAGAATAAGACATTTCCATTAATTTGCCATTATTTTGCTTTATTTTGAAGTAAAACAAATGTGGTTAACATTATAAAAACACTACTTGATATTCTGTTTTTCTTAACTAGAACCATGCAAAAATGTATCACATTGGTAAAGTAGGATGGTAATAAATAATTTTAGGTTGTATGTATTTTTCTGCTCCATCCAAATTCCAGGCCTTCATTTTCTACTAGACTGTGAATGCTTATAAAACATGGTTATTCTACTTCCTTAGTTAAGTCCTATAACACTGATTATAGTGGGTACTCAGAAGAGTAAACATTTTTGACTGACTGACTCCAGTTTAAGTTCCAAAATAGGGGTGCTAGCATCTTTACACCAAAAAACTGAACAAACTAAGCAAAAACAACCAGCCTTGTTTCAGTATAACCTTAGACCACATTAAAAGTGAATTGAGGCCAGTAAAGCATTGAATTCATGGGGAAGAAAATGGAAAAGTGATATAGGGTTATTGTCCTGTAAGTCTCTGGGGAAATCTTTCTCTTTCAAGTTTACTAGCATTTAATTTATATACTTATGAAAAGACAAGAAATCTTCATGCCAGCATCTCCTAGAATCTGTCGGAGCCCAAATTTGGGTTTACTTGGATTATAGACGATGAAAACTTTTAATTCTTAAATTTTGCCAAACTGGACCAGTACTTTCTGACAAATGAACAAAAGTATTTTTTCTGTGAGAGCAATTGAAGAAGATGATGAAACCTAAAATGTTTGATATATTGTCTATTATAGATTTTTCTTTCTTTTTTTTTTTTTTTGAGTTGGAGTCTCACTCGGTTGCCCAGACTGGAGTGCAGTGGCCGCTCCCGGCCACCGCAGCCTCGACCTGCTGGGCTCCGGCGATCCTTCCGCCTCAGCCTTCTGAGTAGCCGGAATTACAGGTGTGCGCTACCACACCCGGCTGATTTTTTGATTTATTGTAGAGATGAGGTCTCGCTGCCCAGGTGGGTCTCGAACCCGCGGGCTCAGGCAATCCACTCACCTCAGCCTCCCAAAGGCGCAGGATTACAGGCTGAGCCACCGAGCCCGGCTTATATTGTCTATTAACCCCCCCCATATCAAGTATTTCTAAGGAACCCGTATCATTTTTATGTAGCTATTATGAACTATATTCTACCATTTCTAGTGATTTTTCTTCTCTGAATTTCATACCTAATTCCTGTTATGTGGTTAGTATAGCTTACCAGCAGTATGATCAAGGTTAAATCGATTTAAACATTGGTCATCCAACTGAGCATGTACCTAAAAAAAAAGGACTCTTTTCTCTGTTCAGTGTAGATAACAGCTGTTTAGCTAACATATATATGAGCTACCTTTGCACAACATAATTTTCAATAGTTATTAATACATTGAATAATGTAAGGAATACTTAATTGTGAAACTAATATGATGATCTTTTAGGTAAAGAGGGATCTGTAATTTGGAAATGAAATATTCTTAGAACTATGAAGTTATAGATAAGGGGACTATAGTTATATGCTCTGAATATTTTTGTCTATAGCCAACTCTTCACTTACACAGAGTAGTAAATGAAGTATTCCCTTTAATACTTTCTAAAGTATATGTTGCAGAAATACTTTTATCTTAGTTTTCTCAATGTGTTGTCTTTGTCTTATTTCTTCAGAGTTCTTTTTCATGCATGGATTATATTTATTAAAAAATAAATTGAGTTAGTACTCAGGAGATATGTCAGCAGTATTGGAAAACTGAAAAGTCACCTATGTGGGTGTTAAAATCCTCATTTCTCATCTACAAATGAAAACCAATAAATCAGGACTACTGAAGTTCTGATGGAATTGTTCCCAATCTCAAGGGTGCCTATTTCAAATGGCTAACTATAAATAGTAAAGCCTGTGATGAAATCCATGAAATTAATATGCTGTCTTTTAAGAAAAAAATGAAACATTCCTTCTTTTCTGCCCTTAACTGTTAAAAGGAAATTTGTTCCTTTCTTGATAATAATTTTTGTGTTTTTTTCTCTTCTTTTGGACAGAAGTTCTAAAAGACTACATCAAGCCGGATGGGGAATGTTTGGAATTGTTTGCTCGAAATTTACAGCCAGGTTGGACTAGTTGGGGCAATGAAGTTCTCAAATTTCAGCACATGGATTATTTTATTGCTGTGGAGTCTGGAAGTTGACTGTGATCCTAATTAAAGTAGTGGTTTCTTCAGTGTTTCTGCATCACTTTTCTCTTCATTCTAACTCACTTCTTCTTTTGATACCAACCAGTTTGCTTAGAAATGTAAATGGGAGTTGGTTTTCAACCAGAAGTGACTAGCTTTCATGTAATTTTGAGATAAATTTTATTTCAGTTCTAGTAATGTTCTACATTATTCTAGAATCTACTAAGAAAGAGGTAAGCAGTTAGAAAGATGGCAAGACGGTACCATTGAAAAAGTTTGGAAAGCATAACTGGACCGGAGGCATAATCCTGCCTTTGTATGTATTTTGTTTAGTCCATATGTTGTAAAAAAAATTTGAGCCATCATTGTAAAAAAAAAAAAAAAATCAGAAAATTTACATAAAAGTCTAAATTTCTGCTTCTCTTTAAACATCAGAAGTTCTGACTATGGTGAGGCCTGTGTTCCTTCCTGGCATCTTTCTGCAGTACCTAGTGGTGACAGCTTACTTGGCAAGAGCCACATGCTCGCCAGTTTACTACAGCATTTCTTCCTCTTCCTCACTTATATTATCTGCTTGATCCCTGTATGACCCAAATTTGCAACCTGTGGTATACTCTGGAAAAATTATTCAAGGACCTGCCAAGTACTGCATTAGTAAACTAACTGAGTTTATGCGACATTTTTGGAGGGTTTTAAATTGCATTCAAAGTTACTTTTCAAGCACTTCTTACTATTGCTTGTTTTTCTAGGAAAAAAATAATATATATTTCTATACAAATGTCAAGAAGTAAACACTACTTATGATTGTGAAAAAAGTATTCATATTAGTTACAGATTTTTTACAAATAATTATTTGTCTACCAACTAAAATATTTTGATTATAATGATTCTTTGAAAAGCATGCTGATTCATTATGTATTATTTTTAAAAAATTGAGATATACTTTTCACCTAATAAAATTCTGAAATTTTCAGTGTAGAGTTTAGTGAGTTTTGAAAACATATATACAGATGTCTGGCTACCTCCATAATCATGGAAGAGAAAACTTGTTTATCCCAAATGCTTCTCATGTATCCTCTTGCAGTCAGTCTTTCTTGACCCCTGGCAGACAGTGATTTTGCTTTCTGTCTTTTGTTGTTTTAGAATTTTATACAGACAGAGCCATGTGATATGTATACCATTGTGTCTGGTTTTTTTCACTTAGCATTTCAAGAAAAGCATTTATACTATTTACTGACTGTCTGCAAATATTTATTTACTAAGTGAAGTGTTAGACTGCAATGATTCTTTGACAAGTGTGTCTATTTACTGATTTTGTCAAAGAAAAGTATGTTAGTTTTGAAGCTTGAGTGTATAACTATAGTATCAGAAGCTTAATTTTGTGTTTATAGAGATATTCTAAAAGAGAATTTAAAAGAGAAAAGATATTAAACTTGAAGCAAACTTCCCATTATATCATTTGAAATTATTTTCAGCTTCATGTGGCATTTATAACTCTTTCTGTCTTTCCCCACCTTCCCCCTCATTGGTCTCATTATTTCACCCAGGCTGGAGAGCAATGATACAATCACGGCTCACTGCAGGCTCAGTCTCCTGGGCTCAGGTGATCTTCCCACCTCAGCCTCCCAAGTTCCTGAGGCTAGGTGTGTGCCACCACACCCACCTAATTTTTTGATTTTTTTTTTTTAATAGAAATGAGCTAGGCTGGTCTTAAACTCCTGGGCTCAAGTAATACTCCCAAAGTGCTGGGATTATAGACACAAAGTACCACACCCAGTTGTATTTATAGATTTCATATAGTTTGTGGAAACATTTTATCTGCACTAAGTTTTTGGACTTTTATTTTTGGATTATAAATACTGATACTGAAAGAGAAAGATAATTTTTATTCAAGAGTCTGGCATTCAAGTAGCAGGGGTTCTAATCTTAGCTCTGCTCCTAAGTTGTACAACCTCTGCGCCTTGTTTTAATATCAGTTTAATACTCTTAAGCAAAGGATGATTCTATTCTGTAAGTTGTAACGAGAGCATACCTTGTGAGAACAAAAATGAAAGAGTATGAACATTGAACTTTGACTTCATTACCACATTACCACAGTTGGTGGTTTAGCCAGCCTACGTGAAAACTTACATATTATAAGGTGTTTTCATTCAGAGCTTTCTATATTATCTTTATAAGTTGTAAGCATTTGAACTTTGTGGGTATTTTCTATCATATTCTTTTTACAGGTTTAAGGTGTTTTAGGACTCTTGGTAATAATGCTTGAGCAAAGGGGTGGAGCCAACGTTTGTAGAGTTGTGTTACTCCATGCTATTTTTTAAAAAATTTTATTTAAAATAAGATTTTTTTATCCATTTTTTTATCAATATTTTTTATTATGATATTGTGGGGTACAGTTAAGGGTTAGGTATACAAATATACTTCATTCAGGCCCCCTTGTTGATAACAGGTGGCTTCCCGTCCCCAGACAGATGTTTACTACCATTAGTCCCATCCCCCTTCCCCCCCATAGTTTCCCACCACTGTCAGTCATTTTCTTATGGTAGTGCGTTGAATGATCAAGGTCCACTATATGAGTGAGAACATGTGATATTCAGATCTTTCTTTCTGTGAGAGGTCACTCAGTATTATAGACTCTCATGACATCCAGGTTGCGAAATTCATGATTTTGTTCTTTTTTTATGGCTGCATAGTATTCCATCGTGTATATGCACCACATTTTTTAAATCCAATCCTCTTTTGATGGACAGCATGGTTGGTTCCAGGTTCTTGCTATTGTGAACAATGCTGCGGTAAACATTCGTGTGCAGGAATCTTTTTTATAGAGTGATTTGAGTTCTTCAGGTTATATTCCCAGTAAGGGGATTGCAGGGTCATATGGGATGTTGATGTTTAGAGCTTTTAGGAATCGCCACACTGCTTTCTACAGAGGTTGCACTAGTTTACACTCCCACCAACACTGTAGAAGTGTTCCCTTTTCGCCACACCTTCTCCAACAACTGTTATTTTTTGAGTTATTGATAATTGGCATTCTGACTGGAGTTAGGTGGTATCTCAGTGTGGTTTTGATTTGCATCTCCCTGATGATTAGTGAGGTTGAGCATTTCTTCATGTGTTTGTTGGCTGCTCGGATATCTTCCTTAGTGAAATGTCTGTTCATATCTTTTGCCCATTTTATAATGGGGTTGTTTGTTTTTTTCTTTTCAGCACGTTTGAGTTCCTTGTAGATCCAAGATGTTAAGCCTTTGTCAGACCTGGAGTTGGCAAATACTTTTTCCCAGTCTGTAGGCTGTCTCCCTGCTCTCTTGATGGTTTCTTTGGCTTTGCAGAAGCTTGTCTATCTTATCCCTTATGGCCTGTGGGTTTCAGATTTTGTTCAGGAATTGGATGTAAGTTCCAATTTCCATGAGGGTATGTCCTTCATTTTCTAAGGTTCTTATGGTTTGAGGTTTTACATTTAGGTCTCTGATCCATTTGAAGTTAATTTTTGTGTATGGGGATAGATAGGGGTCCTGTTTCAATCTTCTGCATATGATAAGCCAGTTTTCCCAGCACCATTTACTAAATAGGTTCTCCTCTCCCCAGTGGTAGGTGTTGGAGGCTTTGTCGAAGATGAGTTGATTGAGAAATTGAGGTTTTGCTTCTGGAATCTCACTTCTATTCCATTGGTCTATATGCCTATTCCTATACCAATTCCAAGCTGTTTTGATGATTGTAGCTTTATAGTAAAGTTTGAAGTCTGGTAATGTGATACCACCTGCTTTGTTTTTTTTGCTGAGGATTGTTCTG